GTAGTAGTAGTAGTAGTAGTAGTAGTAGTAGTTACTATAGTAGTAGTAGTAGTAGTAGTAGTAGTAGTCGTAGTAGTAGTAGTAGTAGTAGTAGTAGTAGTAGTAAGTAGTAGTAGTAGTAGTAGTAGTAGTAGTAGTAGTAGTAGTAGTAGTAGTAGTAGTAGTCGTAGCAGTAGTAGTAGTAGTAGTAGTAGTAGTGGCAGTAGAAGTAGTATCAGTATTAGTATTAGTAGTAGTGGTAGTTTTAGTAGTAGTAGTAGTAGTAGTAGTAGTAGTAGTAGTCGTTAGTAGTAGTAGTAGTAGTAGTAGTAGTAGTAGTAGGAGTAGTAGTCGTAGTAGTAGTAGTAGTAGTAGTAGTAGTAATAGTAGTAGTAGTAGTAGTAGTCGTAGTAGTCGTAGTAGTCGTCGTCGTAGTAGTAGTAGTCGTAGTAGTAGTAGTAGTAGTAGTAGTAGTATTAGTAGTAGTAGTAGTAGTAGTAGTGGTAGTAGTAGTAGTAGTAGTAATAGTAGTAGTAGTAGTCGCGGAGGGCGGGCTGCTTCCAACATGAAGATCTTGCCTTAGCGCCGCGCACCTCCGGTTCAATCAGTCCGCAACAGCTTGACGGATTGAGGGCGGGTCGCTCTCAACATGGGACTCTCGCATTAGCACCGCACACATTCGTTCCAAACATCTGCAAAAGCTTCACCGATTGAGGGCGGGCTGTTTTCAAAATGTGGCTCTCGCCTTTACGCGTAGCGCGCATGTGTTTTCAAGAATTGCAAAACCTCAACGGATAGAGGGCGGACCGTTTCCAACATGTGGCTCTCCACTCAGCGCCGGGCACACTCGTTTCAAACATTTGCACGATGTTCACTGGTTCTGGTGGTTCACAAACGTACCAAAAATAGTGTGTTCGAACGTTTCGGGATTGCTATAGCGCAACATTACGTTGATTCGCGATGCTGAAGCCCAATGAATGGTGCTCTGGCACTGCGCAGCATCGCCAAAACGTGACAGTCAGGTTCGCCCGCGGCATTAAAATACCGAAAACGGTTCTTTGGCACGCTGCAACCGCCTACGCGGTTGTCCCATCATGGGGCAATCCCCTCTTGGAAATGGCCCTTTTTGTATTGACAATTGAAAAAGAGATTTTGGAGGGAAGGTGTATTGATGGGTATTGGATGTGCACCGGTTTTCCCCCTCATCCTTGTCTTACTCCTCCTCCTCTTCCTCCGCCTCCTCCGCATTCTCCTCCTCTCCTCCTACTATTTTACCTCCGTCCTTTTCATCATCCTCCTTCTCCTGCTGCTTCTTTTGTCATCATCCTGCTCCTGCTCCTCCCTCTCCATATCCTCCTCCTCCGTTTCTGCCGTTGAACGGGGTTGGATTCTCGGGATTGTAGCGTCAGGCTCCTCTTCCTCCGTCCTTTTCTCCTCCTACTCCTCGCCCTCCTCCCGTTGCCTCGTCGTCCCCCTCGTCCTCCTCCTCCTTCTCCTCCTCCTCCTCGTCCTCCTCCTCCTTCTCCTCCTCCTCCTTCTCTTTTCCCTCCTCTTGGAACGCGCTCAGGGCAGGGTCCCGAGGCGAACCGTGCATGGGCGACGAAGGCGCCGCCCCGCAGGGGCGCGCGAGGCGCGCCGTCCCCCTCGAATCGTCATTGCTTCCGGGCCCCTGTGCCCCGGGCGTGGGCTCACCGGGCTGACTGAAAACCCAGACGGGTCCACCGAGCAGCTGCATGTTCTCCCAGGAGGTCCCAGAGCAGGCTTCGTCCTGGACCTCCGGCGTCCGAGTTCGCCCCGCGTGCCCTGCCCCAGGGGGCACCGAGGGCAGATGCAAGTACCTCGAAGTGCATCCGCGTACGCTCTGGCAAACCCTGGCAGATGCAGATAAACCTCAGAAAGAAAAAGAAACACCTTTCCAGCGCGAGCCGAGGGGCGCCAGAAGTCGTTGGGCCCGCGACGACCCAAGGCCCTTGGGCCTCTGGGCCTCTGGACTCTGGACCCCATGCCCGGGACATGCGACGTCGCGCGCGGGGGCCGCGAACGCCCCTCTCGCGCCGAAATCGCCAAACAAAAATGAATGACGCTGGTTGGCGATCAGGGCCCCTTTTCTGCATTCCTCCTTAAAACAGGAACAGGATGAGCAAACGGAGGAGGAGGAGGGGGGGGAGGAGGAGGATGAGGAGAAGGAGTAGGAGGAGACGAGACGAGACGAACCCATGGAATCCGCAGCTGTCAGACGGGGCATCAACTTCGCACGGGATTCTGGGGACAGGCAACTTCGACCCTCACAGAATTGTTGAAAGTCAAATATGTAGCTCATTCCCCTCGAGCGAAGTACTGGCCGACCAACACCTCTGAGGCGCGCAACCTCAGTCAGGGCCAGTTCGAACGACACGGGAGACAGCTCGAGTAAGCATTTCATTACTTACTGCTGGCTCTCGCTAGTCGGTGCTCGTCCCCTCCTACGCCCCCGACTCACCGCCCTCTCCATCCCTCGGCCAGGGCCTCTACGAGGCAGCACTACTGTTGGAATGCCTGGCAACTCGATCTGAGCATCGGACGACGGCAAACTCCGTTCCCCTGCTGACGCCCTGGCTGCTACTCCCCCTGGGATCAGGCCGCGCTAAATCAGGGCGGCTAGTCTCTCACTCTGCTGCCGCATAGTTTGCCGTTCACTGCTGATGGTATCTCTCGCTCCAGCGGGCCCCTCGGCGCGCTGCCGTGGAGCCCCCCCCCCCCCCCCCTCCGTCTCCAAGATCCTCAGAAAGAGACCCTGGGCCTGCTTGCCGATCGGGCTCTCCGCGTCGAAATGCGCGATCACGAGGCAGCGCTGGTCGGCGTCGTCCTTCTTCAGCAGCTTGAGACGCGCGTACTTCGCAGCTGCCCCGAGCGTCAGGATG